TCAATTAAAATACAATAAGTAACTGATTGTGACAACTGGTGATGGCTGACCCCTCACAGCACCAGATGGTCGGGTCTACTGTTGATGGCGTACTCGTTGATGGCATTCCTCTCCCTATCCCTCGTCAGACACCGCTGTTTGATAGCCAACAGTGTCTTCAAGTCGGTCCACATCTTCAGCTGTTTTCGGTGTTGTGTCTCATTCTTCCGGAAATCCATTTGTTGTTGTTTTAGACGCTCTTTCTCTGTCTGTTGATCATTGAGTTGACTCTGGACTTGATGTCTTCGGCGGTCACACGAAATACAAATCACATATCAATTCACTTCTTAAGACAATAACTTTTACAAGACTTACAGAATAGAGTCGGACTTGTCATCCGCGGACTCCTGAGCCACATACAGGTTTACCTCCTTGTCCAGCACCTGCTGCCTGGCTTTCAGCACTTCCAGCTGACATTCCATGAAGTACTGGTTGGACTCGAGCGCGTGGACCTGTTTGGTGATGTCCTGACACTCGTTGTCGACGGTGGCGGCGCTGGTCTCGAGTGAGTTCGATACAGTCTGGCAAACAGTTAGCAATGGACTTCCTTCCCTACCTAATAGGTAGTACCTATATTACCCGTAAAAATATTGTTTGATTTTTATAAATTTTTAAATAAACATTTCATTAGACTCTAATGTTTAGAGCAAAACATTTATTATACAACAATTATTGTCTCGATTCGTGGGTATTTCAGTATCATTGCAAAGATTTTCAACTTATTTCCAACTCAATTAGACCCCAATAAGCATCTATCGGTCTATTGAGTAACTAATAAAATTTTTTAATCAAATTGTAAAAAATAAATACTTTTAAAAAATAATTTTAACCGACATCTTTTATAATAAACTTTTCATTTTGAAATGTTTTTAAAGATAATTTAAAATAAATAAGATAGTTATAAAAATACATTGATAACAATATAATAATGTATTATAATTTTATTAAAACAACAACATATTGAACTATGGATGATTAGTTGATTAGCTGGTGATTGTCCTAATTGGGATAATCGGCTACCTATATTACATATTATAGAAAATAATAAATTATTATTGTTAAACTAAACTGAATTAGAAATAATGGTTTTTGTAATAATTTGGTAAAATATAAAATAACAATTTCTGTTAAAAATAATATTCATTTAAATGGCACAAAACATTTCAAGAATTTAAAAATTTTAAATAAACATTTTCTTTTTGAATATGACCATTAAATATGTTTTTGAAATAATAAAATTGAGAATATATAAATAGACCTATTACATTCAAAAAACTATTTTCATTCTTAAAAAGATTATTTAGCATATGCCATATTGTACATAATATAATATTATTCATATTATCTTTTATTAAACAATTATAAAATGCCTAAAACTATTGACAATAATAATCAGTGTATCAAAATAGCTAATGATCCTCAACTAATCAAAATCATCACTACAACTCACATTTTTAAATGTACTGGTTTTCGTACTGATATTTTGATACACCGATAATAATTAACATATGTTTCATATAAATTATTTTTAATAGGATTAAATATTATTATTATTCTTATTATTGATATCAATTAGAATATGTATTAATCAATGTTATTAATTTCCTGAAGTAAATATTATTAAAAATAATTAACTTATTATGGAAAAATTAAACTACAGTATAAATAATGGTTTTGAAAAAATTTGGTAAAATATAAAATAAACAAATAAAATAAAATAAACAATTTTTGTTGAAAATAATATTCATTTTAATGGCTTTAAAACATTTTAAATAAACAAAATTTCTTATTTGAAATAACTATTAACTTATGTCTTTGGAATAATAATATTGCAAATATATAAATTGCCCTGTTACATTCAAAAAGTTGTTCTAAAGATCATTTAACATAATACAGTATTATTACATATTTTCCACAATATTATTCATATTATCGGTTATTAAACAACTATAGAAATGCCTAAAACTATTGATTTAAGTGAACCCATACCCCCTGAATGGCGTGTAAGGGGTGCTGACAGTCATCTCTATTCAATCGGTTTATCACTATTTCAACCAAAATCACATTTCAAAAGAAAATGGTTTTATAATCCATATTTTGGGTGTTTTATAACATTTCTTAATTTAATTAAAAATATTATTTTATTCATTATTAACCACAAAAATATAAAGTTTTCACAACAATTTCATAAACTCATGTGTAACTTTGATCATTTGTTAGGCACTGGAATTATATATACGACCATATTAATTATGGCGGATGTATTTTGTATAATGTGTATATTATTAAATTACTACAACTATACGAATGGTATAAAACCAACGGATTTGAGAGTATTTGAAATGATAAGTGGATTCATAGCTTCAAAAAGTATTGGTTTATGCGATAGAGTTATGGTTTTTAAATTATGCCGAAAATTCTCAAAATTAATAAAATTAGTTAAATATTTAATATATTTTATTATTGTGACAGAAATACTGTGTTTAAACTATTTGTTTAAAATAAAAAGTATAATTCACTTTATAATAAATTTAATAATCAACATAATACCAATAGCAATATATCTTAATTACTTATATAGTTTACTTATTTATCAATTGTTATATTATTATATTATTGTTTATTATTTGAAATACAAATTAATTTCTATTAACACATTCATCAAGGAACTTGCACAAAATAACAATAAAAGAAAAAACAATTTGTTTATAATAACAAAAGTATTTAAAGATCTGTTTGATATATATTTGGAAATTAATGAATATAACAATAATTATTGGTCTAAATATTTGTTAATTGTTTGGATAACCTTTGGTACGATTATTAGTTTTATGGGTTATATAGCATTTAATAGTAACGTTAATATAATTTTAAAAATCTGTGGTATTATTGGTTTTTGTTATTTTGGATCAGTACTATTATTTATAATACAAATTTCATCCAAACTCTATATTGAAGTCAATTATACATATTTTCTAATGAATTCACTATTATCATCAAAATATAGATTTGGACTTAGTTTAAAATTTAAGGTAAAAAACAAAATTATTAATTCAAAAAGAAAATTAAATTGCTATAATCTTAGGTTTTTATTATATCAATGTTTTCATTTCAATAGTTTTTGTCAGTAATGGAGAGAATAGGTGTGAAAAGGATTGGCTTTTATTGTTGGAAACTATTCATTATAAATGAATTCAAGGGATACGAGGTATACTTTGTACCAGTAATTGTTAATATGATTTAAATTATCCAAAATACTAATACAAATTATTTTACAGATAATTTCGCTCACAATTTTACTATTTTTAAAAATTAATGAAAAATCTTAAATTATCATTACAACTACTGTTTTATTTATTTTATATATATATGTATTTATAAATTACCCATTATAGATATAAATTAATTAATAATAATAAAAATAAAATATATTTTATTTAAGTTAAATAATACTTGTATATCATAATACTGTATATTGTATTTCAAACTTATTACATTAATATGAGAATGCTTATATAAAAATAATTTTGATTAAAGTACATATTTAGTTCAAATTGAGTCTACTTTAAATATAAAATTCATTATATGATTAGATATTAGATGATTAGATAAAAATCATTTGCAATGTATTTCTACTTTAAATCGTAGTAAAAATATTTAATAAAAATTCAATAATTAAATATTGAAAATCAAATGTTAGTCAATAAGCCTCAAAATATTTTCAAAAACTTTGAATTTATAGCATGGGGCAGGTATTCATTTAAAGGGTATATCGGAATGCTGATTAAGTTAATATGTACCGGGGCTCTATGTAGATTGTAGAATTGTTGACCCCAACTTTGCCCCTTGGTTATTGTGCAACTTCTACACAAATATTTTTGAAATTTATTTGCTTTCTTGCATCACCTATATATAGTAATATTATTAAATAATTATAATTTAACAATAAAGTTAACCAGTACGTCCTTTATAAACATTTTTCGTAATAAGATAATTTTTATTATTAAATAATTGTCCTTAAAGTTTACTCGCATTTGATCACAGTATCACTAGACACTAAATACAATAATAACTACATAAATACTAGTACAATAGTACTGTACAATAACTGATACTACATATTATATTAGTATATTTTATAAGAGAATCCAATGCGTAGAGTATTATTAGTTATAATGATTTGATTTTTATTATATTTGGACCTTTTATATGTAATAAAACTAAGATTTAGATAATAGGTACCAATGCTGATGGCACTGATAGAAAAATGTGTATATACATGTGTGTAGTTAGTATTTTTTATTATTCAATAAAATATTATATAAAAGAAAGACATTAGAAAACTTAACAAATATTGTTGGCATACCATCGCAAATAATTATATAAAAAAGCTTTGAAAATGGGATTTAAAATTAAATTAAGACTTTCGGATTGGGATAAATATTTTTACACATCGTATCTAACGCTCACAAGCCTTTCATTTGTAAGTATTAATTATTGTATCATGTTGTCAAATTATTACTGAATATTTACTATAAATATTTATAAATATTTTTATTATTGTATTATTATATATATTACAGGGTGCTTTATTTGCTATATTCCCAACCATTTTGGTTGACATGAAATATATTCTCAACACTTCCATGACTTTAGTTTCGTTACAAACACTGTTTGAAACAATTGGCTATACATTGGGCTCATTCAGTATGGATCTCTCTCTCTCTCTCTCTCTCTCTCTCTCTATCTCTCACTCACTCACTCACCTATAATTATATAACTTTACAAATATTGTAGTAATTTTTTTATTTGACATATAGTGGGATTTACCTACAAATGGTTAAACCGACAGATAGTGATGTTGACCACATTCATCATTATGATAGTAGTGTCGGCAGCCTTTCCATTGATGCCAAATCTGGTGGCACTATACCTGTGCTCAATAATCACTGGTTTTGGGTCCAGTATTAATGTGGGCGGGTATATGGTGTGGCCCATAGAGATGTGGCATAAAAACGCGGCACCAGTACTGCAAATGAATGCCCTCGGCTTTGGCATTGGCTCTATCATATGTACCACTACGTTGGGACCATATTTGACCGGGGAGGTTAATAATGATGATAAGGATAGTGTCCCCATCACTGTCGATGAGAGACAGGATAAATTAGTGTGGCCTACCATTATACTTTGCCTGTGTTTGTTAGTATGTAAGTAATTATTTAAAAAACTTTAAAACTTATATAATATTGGCAATTTTAATATTATTCATATAAAAGATGACTACAATTTTAATTTAATCTAGGACCTTATCCATTGAATATAATTTTTTAAAAAGCATTTGCATAATTATGCTAATACTAATACATAAATACTAATTTATTTATTGTTTTCATATCCAGTTCCCATCTCATCACTGGTCATGTACGTAATAAAGCCCTATAAAGTGGCAAAAACTGAGCCGACAACAAATGAGCCGTCAGTGGAGTCGGCGGTCAATGAGAAGTCCGATTCAATGGGAACAGCGGTGACGGAGCCGTCGAGTGCCGGCAAACTGTTTGACGACCCGAGATGTCCGCAAAAGCTCATCAAACTCTTGTTCACCGCGTGGTTTACCCTATATATCATCTACGAGACAATGTTTCTCAAGTTTGCCGTCACTTACTTCCAGTACTCACCGCAACTCCTATCAGCGTCAGAGGCGGCCCATGTATTCTCGGTGTCCACTACTGTCTACTCCATCGCCCGTTTCCTCAATATTTTCGTGTCCATGAAACTGTCCATCAATACGATGATTATGTACTCATACGGCATACTAGTTGTGTCCACGGTGTTGATGATTGTGGGCCAGTATAACATGTATGTGCTCTGGATTGCCAGTCCTATGATGATGTGGGGCTTCTCGCCCATGTTCGCCGGCATCTACACCTTTACGGCACAGTATATTACGATGACTAACCAAATGGGAACTTTATTTTTGTTGGGCAGGGGTCTGTTCACGTTATTCACGCCCAGTATTATCGGCGAGTTTGTGGAGGACTATTCATTTGTGTTTATTTTGGTTAACCTTGTTTACTTAGTTTTATCTATAATTGCATTTTGTTTTATTCATTATTATATTAGAAAATACAAACGATCATTAAACTACTAAATCATTACTTAAACACATTGTATTAAGAAATCATTTTTATTAATGTTTTACATATGATTCCAAAGGTTTATTTATTTACCTTTGTATTATTGAAATGTAATTATTCTTAATATTAGTATTGTACTAATATTATAATTTCATTATAGAGAATATTTCTATAACTAATTTAAGTTAATAAATCCATTTAATTACTAATTTGCAAATATTTTTTATTATATTATTAATAATAATTTATTATTATTCCAAAGTATTATTTATTTATTAATTTAGTTCATCTATTTATAGTAGTATATTAATTTTGTTTTATTACAGTGTTATTGAATATTGTATATTATTATTATATACTATTATTATATAAAACACTAAAAATTGCATAATATAATATAAAATTAATTCAGTTATTTTACTTTGTATTAGATAATTTACCTTGTTATTCTGCATAATATTTTACAGATTCATATTTTAAAGTATTTATAATTATACAATAAAATATTTATTGTCAATTTTCTATTGGATTATTATTTTCAAAATTTTCTAGTTTTATTTATTTTAAGTTTAACTTTTCTAAATTATTAAAAAATTATTGTTCCTAATACTGTAGCATAATATTTTTAAATGCAATATCTATTGATTAAGACTTTCAATCTATTCTGATGCAATAAAATAGCTTGTTAAGTGATTGCACCTAAAATCACAGATTGATAAAAAAAATTTCGAAACAGTTTTTGCAAGAAATTTGTTGTGAAATACTACAGCAATTTATATTGAATTCAAATTAATAAAAAGTTTGTATTTTTAATTGTATTGTATGGTACTATTGTGATGCAAGATTATATATATGTAAAAACAATATAAAATATTAGCAGGATAAATATT